CTGATTGATTTTCTTCAACTACAACGACGAATTAGTATCAATATTCTGTGTGTGTGATTTAATCTGAAAGAATGACGAGGAATATATCCATATGAAATGCGAAGTAGACTAGAGATGAGATTTTTGATTTTAGGAGATGAAATTTTCCGGGAAAATAGCGGTGCGTTGCGATAATTTTCTAGGCAACCAAACAAAACAGAACAGAGGGGGAGGGGATTAATTAGGGTTACAGTGAAATGTGGTTGGTGGATTTAGAATTTGATGAGGGTAGACGTGGCCGAATTTTGCAGGGAAGGGTGAGGGAGAAGCGTCACCCGCATGTGGGTTTAAAGGATCATGATGATATCGGGATTCCCATTMCAATAAAGAAGCAAGGGAAGGTGTTCGACGTGTCGGAACCGGGGGGAGCTCGGAAAGCGAAGCAGACCGACGTGTCGGTCCCGCGTCCTGCGCCCAGATCCAATCCCAGGCCACCTAAACCTGTGGATGAAGATCTCTACAAAATCCCACCGGAACTYCTCCACTCTTCTAAGCGGGTATTTTCATTTTCTTTTCTCCGTTAAGTTTTCTTACACAAACATTTTATTCCCTAGATTTTTTTTTACCCGACTTTCCAAATTTTACGTTCTAAATGCCCATTCGGTAACTTTTACCTCTTTACTTAGTTTTTTTTTGTTATATTTGAATACAAATTAAGTTCATTGGCCTATATCAAATTATTCATGGTCGGTTTGGGATATAAAGAAAGAACTTGATATCAATATTTTCATTCTTGCTCTAAATAAATAAAATATGCTCGATAAATATTGATATTCAAATTTATTAACAATTTTGTTTTTAATTGCCACTGCCTTCGGTTTTTTAATTATTTTTTTAATCTCACTAATTTTTCTTGTTATACAGAACAAAATGAAAGGCTTATTTTCAAGGTGTTTGGTACCTGCTTGCAATTGAGGAATTGAAGTATGAGGAACTGTTAAAACTATAATTTCTAATACCCTTTTTATTTTATTTTTATTATTTTATTTTATTTTATAAATTTTCGTTTTAGTTTTAAGGAAATAGAAAGAGAATAGATTGTATCAGTTCTTGTTCTAATTTAAATCTGATGTAAAAATGTCATATAGGAATCTTGAGAGTAAACTATCTATCAATGAATTATATAATGTAGTAGTAGGTTAGGTTTTGTGTTTTTTCTTTTGTTAAATGATAAATGAATAATGAAAATTAAATAGTTTTTTTAATGCAAAATTTAGAAACTAGAACATAACATTTGAAAATTGATACTAAAATTGAATGTATTTAAAGATTGAAAAACCAAAACAAAATAACTAAAGTAGCACTTGAATATAAAAAAATATTATTTATACCAACATAACTATAAACCCTAGACTGTAAAAAAAAAAAAAACTATAAACCCTACAATTGAATTATTGTGACCAGAAGTATAATCATTTAATAAAAATAGTTTAATTTTTCTCAATTTTCTCAACCTACTCTAGAAACTCGGTCTCATCATATTAAAACCATTCTTGAAATGGAACTTTTTTTTAATTAATAAATATTATATGAAAAAAGTATTCTTACCAAGAGAAGAAACTCAAAAAATGGTTTAAATGATGAGTTTTGTTGGTAAATTTACTWTTAATTTTGTGTGTAAACCAAGGTTTGAAATGTTAATGTGAAGGAGTGTTGGACTCTTAATTGAATGAAAATTTTGATAAAAATATYGATGTCGGTAGATATTTTTGAAAAAATTATAAAAATAAAAAACTCTAAAAAAATATTTAAATTAACGAATAATTGTTTCACAATCTCTAAATAGGTAAAAACAGATTAATGTTAATATTATGTCTATGTTAATGAAATTTTATTAATAGTTTTTATATTTTGTCGATATTTTGTAATGTTATAAAAATATCGATGTCGAACCTATAGATACATGGACATATGAACGTATCGATGGATATTTAATGCCACGGTGTAAACTACTGTAGATAAAAAAGAAACAATTTAGAAACAATGGACATAAACTAAATACTGTTTTTGAGAAAAAATACATTTGTTTTTTACAGACCGTTGGGCCAATGAAGCATTCTAGGCCATCCTAGACTTTTGCATGATAGGTCTTTTCTATGCCTAAGCCTAAAATTGGGCCTAGACTGTTTTTTCTTTGCTTAAATAAATAATGGAATAATATTTGATAGAGGTTCTCATCCATTATTTAAACCATAGATCTCACCTATTTTAGATATTTTGGATATGTTTGAGAGTATTTAATACAATTAATTTTACCAAAAATTATAGAGTTGTTTCTCTTCTTTTATCTATTAAAATTCCAACTGGTTTAAATTTATTTGTTCATTCACTCTTAATTCTCCTTTAATCGATCAAGGTGCACGTGAGAGAGAGTGTGGGACTTTGTCGAAAGATCAAAAGAGAAAGAGGAAAAGCTCGAATCCCACGTCAAATTCTTTTATTTTAATAAATATGCATTTCGCTCTCTTCATATTTATTGGTTTATCTTCCTTTAATTATGAGTGAATTTACTTTTCTAGCCCTTATATAGATTTTTTAGTTTTTTTTTTATTACTGCCTTTTCTTTCATCATTTTTTTTTTGGTTTGATTGCTACTTTAATGCTTAACACAATTATACAAATATAAAGGTAAAGTAGAAGATGAAAAATTAGGCTAAAGATTCTAGCTTTCTTCTCCCAAGCATGTATGAAATAATTTCAAGTGGCAATCCTTTGGGTAAAAAGGAATTTCTTATTCAAGTGTTATATCATATTGGAGTCTTTGTCTTTAGTGATAATACCTAAAGTTGGTAAAAATCATAATCACATTATTGTTCTCGGTTATATATTTAAAGGTACTAAAATCAACGGTCAAGTTTATGAATTATTCAAACCTAAATATATGCCAATTGGTTAAGGGATATATTCTCCACCTAAAGGTCGGTAGTTCGAATCCCCACTCTTATATATGGTTGAACTAAAACCAAACAAGTTTATGAATTATTCAAATTATAAAAATTTATATGAAATATATATCTTTACTTTTAATTTTAAATGTATTTTTTAAAAATAAATTTGAGAAAATTATATTTTAAATCCATGAAATTTATAATTTTATTTGGTCTCTGCATTTTAGTTGATAATTCTTAGGTTCAAATATGATTAACTTTGGTTCATTTCAATCTATGGACTCTCAATCTTTGTTCATTTTAGTCCTTGTACTTTTTGGCCTTGTAATTTTAAGGATGTGATGACTAATTTGATCCATATTTATAAAATTTTAACTCAAACTTTATACACAATAGAAACCATTTAATACAAATTTATGACTACATTTAAAAAAGTTTAATGAGTGAAATATCATATTAAAATTATGGTTGGAAGAAATTATATAAAAACTGAAAATGAAATGACTGAAATTGTCATTTCTAAAAATATATGGATCAAAATAAACGTAAGCCTAAAATGAACAAAAATTTAGAATAGATAGACCAAAATAATTATAAATTTGAGATTATGTAACAAAAATATGACATGACAGATGAGATCGACTTTGCTGAAAAATTTATTTTAAACAATTTGGTCAATTTTTACTAAATTTTAGATCATTTTCTTTTTTGTTACATGAACTTTTCTTCTTCTCTCTAAAACATCCTCTCTCTCTCTCTCTCTCTCATTTCTCCCTTTGTCCTCCCTGTTCTCTCACATCCATGCACAAAGGAGGGGACCAAAGAAGCAAAATTGGAAGGTAGTCATCAAATCATCCGAAGGTATTTATTTTAATCATGCTCATGGTCCCAAACTCAACTACTTACCATTCAGAGAGTGATCGAAAATCATGAAAATATAAAGTAAACAATATCATATGTGGAAACATAAACATAAAGAGGTCGATTTGACACGATACGATGGGTTAATCGACATTTCTACTAAATCTTGAGACTTTGGTGGTCAGTCGACATTGACATTTGAATTTGCAGTGGGAAGTCAAAAGCAACAAAAAGAGAAGAAAAATAGAAGAAAAAAAGAGTGCCGACATGTGAAGACAAGAATAGAAGCAGGTCCACAAAAAGTTAATTTATCTAAAAATCATATTCTCATTTGGAAGTTGGAACTGAGTCCCACCACTCTTGGAACCAAAGACAACTCTCACTTTCCCCATCAATATCAAACCAAGCTCTACTAGTTAATGCATACTTTCTTTTTTATTATAACCATGTGCAACAATTAAAAACAAAAAACAAATCCGTAACAAACCCGACAACTAACTTACTATATGTCACTTCTAAATATTAATCTACGCAGATATTGATCGATCGATCACACGTTCAGCCTAAGAGTGTGTTTAGCACGCCTTTTAAGTACTTATGAAAGATTGGTAGTGTGTGCAACAAAACGCGCTTTGAACCAATTATGAGTAGTTTTGAGAAGTTCGATCAAGATTATTTAAAGTGCTTTAAGACAAATACGAAAGATTCAAAACGAGTTTGACATATCTTTTAGTTTAAGAACTTTCTTTCTTGGATAATCATTTCCAAGTTCTAAGTTCTTAGTTCTTAAAACTACAATAGGGTCAAACATTTTAGAGTTACTTTTGAGTAATTATCCCTTCAGTGTTTCTCACAAAAAGGTATTTTACTTGAACAAAAGGTATCTCAAACTCACACAAAGTTTAAGGAGCAAATTTGAAGAAGGATGAACCAAAAAAATGGTATTGTATTTCTCATTCATCACTTGGGTTTGGACCAAAATTTCCTATATCAACTAGTTCTTTCTCTTTTGTAATATGTGCAACTTTTGTATTGGAAGACAAAGTATATGTATACACAGGTTGGTGTGAAAGAATTCTGACCTATTTTCATCAAGCAGTGTGAGTTCTTGAAGCAGCTCTATGCAGCCTTTCGAGTATGCCGATAGCCTTTCGCCTCGCCCTCGAATTCCCGCTTGTTGAAAGTTCTACGATTGTACCATTCCAATTTTCGTCCTCCTGAATCTCCCACATTTTTCTTCGATTCGATGTGCAGATTGCAAATAGTATTGAGACGCAGTTTTCTTTGACGCATTCGGCACTAGCTTCCCTCATGATTTCCAGCATACAGGGCACAGTGTCAAGCTTGCACATTTCCTCGACAGCCTTCCGATTGCTAGAAAGCAGGGCGAGTACCGAAACCAACTCATCGACCATTATGCCTCCAATGATGTTTCGAAGAACGGAACCAACTGCTCCGTTGTAAACTGCCTGCTCTTTGTTCTGGTGGATGGTACAAAGCCTGAAAATTGCAGAAGCTGCATCTTTTATCACCACTGGATGGGCATCATCGTCTAGAAGTGCAATCAGAGGCTTGAGAGCGCCTGCATTTCCAATGATGATCTTATTCGACTCGAGACACGCTAATGAGGAAATAGCTGCAGCAGCATTCGCTTTCGTATTGGTATTTCCGTATTGTAAAGATTCGATCAGCACCGGGAGGGCCAACCAGTTCTCAGCTACATGTTTCTTGTTATCCTCATGAATCGAGATATTGAGAACACTGGTAACTAAATCCTCTTGGAGATCAGGATGGAGACTAATGTTATCTAGTAACAGACACGATAATAATCTGTCGATAGACTCGGGGCGCTTGGCGAAAAGGGCTCGAAACTCATGGTTCCCTTTTGCTAACCGTCTCAACTCCTTTGCAGCGGCTTTTTGATCTGATAGGGACGATGACGGTGACAACGACAACGACAACTTGTTAAGCAATTCATCGAAATCACATTCACTTTCACTGGTGACCACTTCCTCAAAAACAAGCTTGGGAAGCTCCAACCCGTTCTCCGCGCACCACTGCGAGATTATCTCCCGAAGAAGGCGATTCGGAGTAAGCGTCATGTCAGAAAGGACTTCCTTGGTTTGAGGGCATGTATTGTGCCCTTTATGGAACCATTTCTCGATAAACGCCCGATCGTATGTCTGCAATTCAAAACCATGTTTCAACAACAACTCACATTCTATTCACAGAGAAATCTTCTTATAAATAGTATCAAAGACACCACCAATAGATCATAATATATTCAATCCTTTATACATATTCGTAACACTTTCCCCCACAAGATGAGAAAGAAAATGACATTACAAGAATTCGAATAGAAGTTCGATCTTTTTACTCATAAAGGGAAACTAATATATGGGGGCGAAACTCAAAAAGGGTATTGAACATTGACAGATTATAGCATTGGAGAGGAAAATTTAGCTTTCCCATACATAGTCTAAAGAATCATTATGATAAAAGCCCACAGAAAAAACACAAAACCACAGCAAAGAAACAAAACAGGGCTCACAGAGAGAAATTCTTCACAGCAATACAATTCCGATGGGAACCCTTCTAAAATTGATCAAACCCCAAAAAGATTTGAAGAACCAATCGCAAGAAGACAGAAGAGAAGACAAAAGATTTCAATCCCAAATCCCAAATAAACCTTCTCTCTTCTAACCTGACCAGTTTTCAAGATGACAGGGTCCTTCATGAGCTCCCCGGAAATTGGGCACCGGAAGAACTCCGGCACAAACGGAGACCTACTGCGGCTACTTCCACAGGCGGCGGTGGAGGCGATTCGGGAGAGTTTCAAAGCATCCAATCTGTCGATAGCCTCGTCGGCGGATACGATTTCCCAATCTTCTTGGTGGGTGATTTTGTTCAGCAACTTCTCCAAGTCTTTCTTGATCGGCTCCGATGGCGGCTTCTCCTCCGCCATGGTCGCCGCCCCTCAAGAGAGCGAAATGCAATCGGAACCCAGAGGGAGAAATTCCACGAGGAATCGGAGAAAGCAGAGAAAATGGGAAAATTGCAAAGAAATTTCAGAATCGTGGGTTCGTTTTTTCCCTTGAATTGAACCCACTTTTTTTTTTCTTCGTCTCTCTCCAAATGGGTGTTATCTTTTGTGGGAATTTTATATTGGTTCTTGAAGTTTACTCAAAAACCAGAATCCAGTGGCGTTTTTGGGACCCTCAGAGTCAGAGAGAGAAAATGGAAATGGACGGAATTTTCGGAGAGAAGAAGGATGGGACTTCTCCGCTAGATTTTATGGATGACACGTCTGCCAAATCAAATCATTTCTTGATAAAAAATTCAAATTCAAATTCAAATACCAATACTTGATGTCTTTATAAAAATATATATTCATTTTGTGTTTTTTTTTTGTAATTTTTTTGTAATTTATTTTGAATACACCAACCTTACCTTACGATGAAAATTTAAACCTATGAGTGAAAAAGAGTCTAACTCAACGATAATTGACGTATATCTCCAATCAAGAGATTTGAGTTCGACTTCTAACTTTTACATGTTGTACTAAAAAAAGAGAGAATTTAAATCTATGACTTTTTGGTTGAGATATATGCTTTATAGCTATGCTTTGATTGGTAATATTACTATAATTTATCATTGTCATAACAACGATATTTTAATAACAGTATGAGACTCGTAAAATAAAATCATATATTATGTATTGATGTATCAAATTGTAAATGAAAATGGTAAGGAGTATCATGCTTATTCACACTTTATTTTTATACTTATTGAAAGGATAACTTTAAGGAAGAAAAAAAAAGCCTACTTTGTTTAAAAATTAGTACAATTCTATATTTTAAAACTGTTTACTTCTTATATATAAATATTCAATTGAATAAAATTTAAACTTCACCATAAAAAATTATTTTCCACTTTACTTCCTAGGTTCAATCTCCAACACTCTCATAATTTTCCTTTTTTGGCAAATAGATTATAGAATGTCATATTACATTTTTCTCTTTTCCTTCAATTACATCGGAAAACGACTTGTAAACCTTATTATGGCCATCCCTCATTGGTTGTCCGCGGATTCCATTATCAAGAAGTGTATCCACGGCTTCTTAGACCAATTTCTCCTGACACATTACTAATTCTCCTGGTGTAGATCTACTTGTTGTTAATAGATCAATAAGAGTATTATTCCGATAGATAACTCTTCTATAGAGTTCATTAATATCCGAGYTCATTAGTTTACCCCCATCTATCTGAATGAAAGAATCGGAATTGATCGATATATTTCTCTCGCTTTCTTTTTAAATAAATTTTACTTATTAAGGAAGCATGTAGTACATAAAGATACATAAATTAAATGACATACCTTCTATAACTACATCACTAATATCATATCACTTATCACTTATATAATACATCTATAACATATATTAGTGATATATTTGATATAACCGATGTATATCAAAGTATATCATAAATATACTTCGGATAAAGTATGCCGTGATATACGTCATGTAAGGTATATCAATTAAATGATATAATTTGATATACTACATACTATGCATATCAACTCCAACTAATTTACTATATACGAAGTAATACAGCTGCAACTGATTTACTATATACGAAGTAAATCAATTATTACTGTTATTTCTAATATATATTGTACATCAATTGATATCTTGATGTTTTTCCCACTAAAGTTTTAAATGTCGATGTCGATAAAATTGTGTAGGTCTCAAATTTATGGAAATGTCGATAGTTATTGGGATAATCTAAGTACGTTCTTTTGGATCCAGGAAATAGCTCTAAGAGATATTTTTTTCCTTTTGGAAGATATGAGCGCAACAATCAACCTATTGATATTAAAAGAGCCAAAAGATTCTTCCAATGTAACGTCCAATGAAATTCGTAGGTATAGAAAGAAATCCTATAATGGTATTTGTTAACAATAACATAATGGATGCAGTTAATCACTATAGGTTGATGTAACATCGATCTTGGTGAATATTTGTGAAAAATCATAAAAATTTAAAAAGTCATAACAAATGAATAAAATAATAAATAAGGATTTCATTCTTTTAAAATGTTTAAATTTTATTAATATTAATATTAAGTTGATATTTTTTGTATTTTATATTTTGTCCTTTTATATTTTTTGTATTTTTTTTTCTTCTTTGTGAAACTATAGAAGTGTGGATGGAAATTTATGGCTCGTCTGGTAACATTCCTATTTCTTGTTTTTGTTTCTTGATTTTTAATAAAGAAAAATGAATTGTATAGCCTCAATATCCATGAATTCAAGTATAATAAAACATTTTTTTTACTTTATGTTTTGTACAAGTTGGAAATGGAAACAAGAAACAAGAAACTTATTTTGGTTGTTTCCAAAATTTTTATAGGATATTCCCAAAGAAGGAGAAATAAAAAAGCATAATTAATTGCAAAATGCTTAAATTTCCTAAAAAAATTGGGAACGAGAAACAAAAAACTAGAACGTTACCAAATGGACCCTTAATACCATGCTTCATACTAGGTATATCAGTTATAATTAATATACTTTATATAAGGTAAGTCAATTATAATTGATATATCTTGTATGTAGTGCATCAAGATAAATTAGTTATACTGATGTACTTTATATGAATGTCGATACACCATTGATTTACAAAAGGTAAATTAATTCAGAATAATTAAAAATTTAAAAATAAAATTTCAAATATTTTACCATACTTACAAAATCTAAAATTTGTTGTTATATTTGTAAATATTACAGATATTTTAGCTATTAATTATAAATTCTACGAAAAAATTAAGTAATAATAAAAAAAATCTAGATTTGTTTTGTCTATTTGGTCAAAAAAAAAAAAGAAATAAAATTATTTTATTCATATTATAAATTGAACAGTTAATAAATAAAATTACTAATATATGATTTTTTTAGTCCAATAATTTTGAGGGGGGATCAATCCATAGATAATATTTGTGTCTTATTCAAGGAGGGCGATGGTTAGACTAACACTAATATTTGATTATATCACATTAGAAATTAAAAAATCATTAATTTAGTAGCATATGGATAAAAATCAGTACTTAGTTTATTTTTAATAATTGGTTTAATAAATTTAATAAAAATATTTGAAACACAATGTTTGTATTCCTTTTTATAATTTACTATCGAAATACAAAACATATCTTAAAATAAAATAACTCAGGTTGGTTTCTTCATTTTATTAGTTTCAATTAAAGTGGTTTATGGATTTTTTTTTCTAACATATGAGATTTAGGAATTTCAATGTCAAACTTCCAAACTAAAACTTACTTGCCTCGCTGTTTTCTACTATTGAGTAATTATGTTAGTTGTCAAATTAAAGTTCAAGGCTAAGTAAAAAACAAAAGAAAATATGTAAAATTTCTTGAGTGGCAAAATAAATTTATGGATAGAATTGTGAGATTTAACCAAGGATGGCCAAACCAACCTGTACGTTGACCTGCCCATGGGCCACTTTGATCGGCCTAGGGTTATTGCCCAACCAGGCTGAGGTTTGGATAAATTTCAGTCTATTTTACCAAGTAAAAATAAATATGTCTTGTTGATTAATAGTATTGGGCTCAAAGTCCACCGAACACATAAGCAAAATGAGGGCCAACACAAAACAGTCGGTTGAGGAATCAAACCAACTGAAACCATGATATTCTAAGACACCCAATATACGACCAAGTTAAAATTCAAGGTTACTTTATGGGTGGTGTGGTGAACCTAGCCACACAATTAAAACCAAGCCCATTGAAGAATGTGATTTGTTAAATTTTCATCCACACCCTCTATTTGTCTATTTATTTGTTTGGTAATTTATGGTTTTGGATTTGGATTTGATTTCTATGATGTTCACGAAGGCAGAAGAATTCCATTTGAAGTGCTTCTTGAATTTAGATGATTATTTTGGTCATGTATGGTTGGATTCTCTTTATACCTCCCCATGATATGAAGCTGTTAGTATAGTTGAATATCTCATTTCAACACACTTCAACCAACAATGATCTCACAATTCTATTGCTTCATGTTTGGCTTAATTTTCTTTTCACTTTGAGTTTTGGACTTCATGCTTTTGTTAATAAAGAAGACCATTTCTGCATCTTGAGTAAGATTCGGTAAGTAATTATATCTATTGGTATTATTTGTGTTTTAAATCAACTTTTTTTTATCTACATGTCTATTTTTAGCTTATTTTGATAGGGAGACCAAACCAAGGTAATATCTTGATTGATAGTCATTTAGTTGTTGGTATGTTCTGTTTGACCTATATATATATATAATCTTTTAAAGATATAAATAGAATCCCATCCAAAGCATTCTAATTGTTCAACCTCCTCTTTCTTCAAACAGAAAGTATCATCAAGAACTTTCTTTGGGGCAGAAGAAAGCTACCATTATGAGTTTTTCTGTTTATTTTTTGGTAGAGTAAGAGTGGAACAACTTTTTTGGAGTAGAAGTGAATTCTACAATTTATTTGGTAAAAAAAAGATCATGTCCTTTGGTAAAAAATTTTATTCTTCAATTTCTTTGATTGAGGTATCGTGATCGCTTGCTTACTTCAGCCATGATTTATTGTTATTTGGATTTTTCATTAGCTTTTGTTCATCTGTTTTATTGATGGTTCCAGGAGAAGAATCTGAAAGCAACGGTGAGAGCAATCAAAAAGTCATTTATAGCGTTTTTCATGAGCTATCGTATCTACTTTTTCTTGTAGTGGTCCATCTGTACATTTACGAATAAAGTTGTTCCATCATACTTAGAAGGAGAAGACGAAGAAGAGAAGAGTGTTTCCAGCTTCTATAGGCTAAGGAAGTGGAAATTTCTTATGGGGTTTCACGGGGAATATATTCAAGTTGGTTTCTTCAAAATCATTTTCATGTTTGAGGCCATTGCGTTTGTAGGCATCGCGGTGTGAAATTGAATCGATAAATTTGTATGTTCTTCATAACTTCTTCTTACTGACTGAAATCTGTATGCTTCCTTACCGACCCTTCTTGCAAAGGCTTATTCTATAATCTATATATATAAAATATTGTGGAAAGCATCAGAAATGATCAGAAATTGAAAGTTTTATCGAAACTCAATAGATAGGAAGTTTCGTATTAATGATCAATTCGTTGTAGCCTAAATTCATGAATGTGATAGGTGACGTGCTTTAATGGTGAGTGAATTATGGTTGAAGAAGAC